GGGCGACGCCTTGTGAGGTTAGATCGCCGTTAGTGGCGTAGGCGCGCGCGGAGGACATTGTCGTGCGCACATGGGATCTGTCCATGCGAAGTTAGCGCGCACTTGATGGATTGAGTGTGCGGTGGTGCTCTCCTCTTCTAGTGATGTGGTTCCAAGGTCTCTATGCCAATTATGATCACATCATCTCCTCCTTCTTGAAAAGGATTCGTCCTCGAATCAAGTTTGTGACCTACACATAAACATATCAAGTTGGTCAAATAATAAGCCTTAAAAGGTATCTTACTTTGTGGGTTCTCTTTGCATTGTTGAAGGCTTATGATCTTTTTCCACGGAGGATACACATGTCACTTTCTTTTTCGTCCTCTCGAGTGGACATTGCTCCCTTGATTCCTCGTAGAGAAATTTTGAAGTCTAGAGATATTGATGCTCTCTTCGGCCTTCCTTTGAATGTACCTTTAGCACCCTTTCGTTCTTTCGAAAAATGTTTCCAAACCCAATCACTTGGTTTGTTGACTTTACGCTTGAGTCCCTTTGTCCTCCTCTTGGCACTTGACATTTGAATTCACCAACACAACCAATGATGTTCTCGGCCATGACATTGTTTTGAGGACTTTTTGGATAAGAACTTTCCAATGATTTTCAGCCATAACATGGCATTTTCACGATCACCTACACAAAAAGGAAATAAGTTACTATCTTCAAAATCAAAATTTATCATATACATACCTTGTATGGCGATCTCAAGATCATGCAAAAATTTTAGGATGAGTCTTTTTTGCTCCATGTTGTAATGACACTCCATAGCTTTCAACTCTTCTTTGATTCTTCCATGATGAAGTTAAGAATTGAAAGTTCCTGCAAAAGTCTCAAAAGAGTACAAGCACCAGGATAAAACATGTATGGCCAAATATGTTGGACTTGTATGGCCAAATATGTTGGATCTCGCTCTCTTTCTCCTCATACTCTTTTCTCATCTCTTTTTCTTTTTCTTTCACTTGCCTCGACTCACATGTAGCCACAAATATTTCTTCATGTATTATTGGTTCGAGAGTAGGTATTTCACAATCAAAACAATCTTTGTGATCTAAACAATTAGGAATCTTATGCATAAAATCACTAAGAATCACTTTTTCTATTATAATACTCTCATTCTCATCAACTTCATGCACTACTTTGTTACTAATGGGAATATAAATTTCTTGCATGTTTTCACAAAGCATGACTTCTTCTTTCTCACCACATTTTCCCTCAACAATAGGTAAGATGTAATGCAACAACTTGTAATCCATGGGAATAGGAATTTCATGCTTGGATTCACAAGATGTTTTATCTTCAATTGTTCCACTTACCTTTTCATCAATAGGCATACAATCATGTAATACTTTGCAATCTAAGGGGATGGGATCAACATGCATAGTATCACAAAGTATTTCATTTTCAATCTTAGTACTTTATTCCTCAACAATAGGAATAAATTCATGCAACACTTTGTTATCACTAGTAGAAGGTATTTCATACATAGTTCCACAAAATATTTCATGCTCTTTATTTTCTACAATTGGGACTAAAGTAGGCAAACTAACATGTCCTAAAGTAGGAATTTCATGATTATTACGTTTAGGATTAGCATACCTTGAAGATTCTTGTTGATGCCTTCTTTCAATTCTCTTGGCAAGGTGTAATATTTCATCCAACCTAGTACAAGGTCGAATTTCTTCTCTTTCCACAATCACCTTGGCAATCTCTCCATTGAGCCTATTGTAGAATCGATCCATGGTAATTTCCTCATCTTCATAAACGTTAAGCTCCTCAAGCAATAAGCACATCTCATCATAGTAGGCTTCAACACTTTTGTCCCTTTGTCTCAAGTTTTTCAACTTGATTAAAGACTTAGGAACAAATTGTCTCCTCATTATGGGCTTGAGTTCACTCCATGAGGTAATTCGGCTTTCTCGATTCCTTTTTCTACTAAAAAATAAAGCATCCCACCATGTTATAGCATAATCTTTAAAACAAGTGATAATAAGATTTACCTTATGCTTCACTCCAATGGTGTTGTGCAAAGATGCTCTCGACTTGGTCTTCCCAATAAAGCTATTCTTGTGGCTTTGTACTTCCGTGGAACTTAGGAAGTCTAGGAGTTGTGTATCCAAGGTAGCCACTACTATGGTGATCCTTCCTCCTTTGATGAGTTACATTAAAGACATGGTTATTATAATTCTCGCATCGTGGACTTGTTCCTTCTTCTTGAGATTTGCCTCTTGTTGCCATCACTACACAAGTAAAGGTTAGTATAAACAATAAAATTCAGTGTCACTACATTACTTATCCTCTCGGCTTCCTCTCTTTTGGTAGGGTGGATGTTGGTGTGGATACCCTTTGGAGATGCTCACTTGAATGCTTGTGGCGAATCGGTCTTAGAACAAGTGAGTATAAGCCTACAAGCAACTTGCAAAAATATCCTTTTTTTTTTTTTACTAGGGGCCAATGGTATAGATGATAGCAAAGATAAGATTCAAAAGAATACCAAATGATAGTTACGAGGGTACCAAATGTTATTTATGAAGAATAAGGCAAGATATAAACAAGAATGATAAAGACAATCTTAAGCCTAAGGCTCTTAGTTCAATGGACTCAACTATAATATGCAAATTGAAGTTAAAGCTAAACAAAGAAATATGCAAATAAAATCAATTTAGTCAAAAATATACTAAAATGATGTACAAATCCAACTTGTAGTGCAAACACACACAAAAATAAACTTACCAACAAAACAGTGAACTTTGCGGTAATTTGGGTAACTTTGGGTGAGGGGTGTGTGATGTATACAATTCGGATGGGACTCCAACTAGTGGCAAAAGTTAGCACAACAAGTGTACTTAGAGTGTGTAGGCTACCTAAAGGTTTGGATTTCGTTAGAGGGGGCTGCTCTCTCAAAAACAATTCTGGGGCTGCACAAAAGCCTCTCTCGAGTGGCCCAGTGGGGGTGGCGGCTGTCCTCCTTCTTTTGGGCTGTCCAACTAGGTCAAAATAATCCAACAATAATTGTAAATCAAAACATAATCAATGTTAGAATTATTTACCAAAAAGAAATCGATTTGGACAAGATTTGGTAGCCCAAAGATTTTCTCCAAAAACGTCGAGCTTCAAATTTGGAAAGTTTTCTGCTTGGACACCTTCTCTTCTTTCGCTGGTAACTTCTACTACAGACCTTGGATGGTGATGATCTATATGTCCCTGGAAATATCATTCAAAGACCTTTAATTCCGTACTTCATTTGACTAATTCAGCAAAAAGGTCAGTAAGATATGAATCGTTGAAGTTGGGATACTGCTTCTTCGGCGGCTGCAGGATTTCCAGATTACACAGTGTTTTTGAAAAAGCGATAACTTTCAAACCACCAATCGAAAATTATCAATTCTGAGCTCTATGGAAAGCT